GTTTATTTATATTTTCGTTAAATATAACATAAGATTTTGTGGTATCCACTAGTGTAAATATGTTAAATTGAAGATCAAATTCGGTCATTGTATTCATATAGGGTCAAGGAGTGTAGCGGTAAAAAATCATCAAAATAGGAGTTAAATAACCGTTAAATCATGATTTTTCATTTATAACCGTCGAAATTTTTTGTCCCGTTACTTGATCTCTAAATGTTTATTTTTTCCGATTTTTGGCGTATATGATCTCGAAGTATAAACAAACAAGTTTGATGGTTGGATCGTTGAAACTAGTTTCTTAGAATGTGTATGCCATCAAAACATTATATTCACTAACAATTAAGAGTTTATTTATATTTTCGTTAAATATAACATAAGATTTTGTGGTATCCACTAGTGTCGTCTATTATATGTAAAGATGATAAAAAAGGATTGTCTATTATGAAGTAAAGATGACGGTTCTTTTAAAAAAAGGGTCGTCTATTATGAAGTAAAGATGACGGTTTTTTTAAGAAAAAGGGTCGTCTATTATATGTAAAGATGATGGTTTGTTTAAAAAAGGGTCGTCTATTATGAAGTAAAGATGACGGTTTTTGTTACAAAGGAGTCGTCTATTATATGTAAAGATGACGCTTTTTATAAAAAAATGGGTCGTCTATTATATGTAAAGATAATGGTTTGTTTAAAAAGGGTCGTCTATTATGAAGTAAAGATGATGGTTTTTTTTAAAAAAAATGGTCGTCTATTATATGTAAAGATGACGCTTTTTTATAAAAAAAGGGTTGTCTATGATATGTAAAGATGACAATTTTTTTTAAAAAGCGTCGTCTTTTAAAATACGCTAAAAAATGGCAGCTTAAGTGAATTCGCGCTCGACAAATTTTCAAATTTTCACCCGTCTTTGAAACCTTATCTCTCATTAACAAGCGTTGTCTTTTAAAACACGCTAAAAAAAGGCTACTTAAGTAATTTCGCGCTCAACAAATTTTCAGATTTTCCCCCGTCTCTGAAAACCTTATCTCTCCCTCCTTGAAACCCTCCTGCACTCTCTAAAACACCATCATGAAACTCTCTACAAAATCATCAAAAAATCGATATCAATGAAGGAGTTGAGAGATTAAGGTCTTCGCAGATCCATAAGATGTAGGTGGAGGTTTTGTATTTGAGAATCAAAGCTGGTTGAAAGGCTTGATTTGAAAGTCACCTAATCTCTCAATACCCTTCTATATCTTGCTAGTGAATTTTGGATTAGTCTCTTTGCGTTTCTGGTATGTTTGTTGTCTCCCTAATTTCAGATTTTGTTCTCTTGATTTGTTTGGTTTGTTTACATATATATTTTTATATTTCTGGTTTCTTTTTAGATTTTCTTATTTGGTTATCAGGAGATGAGGAGGAAGCTTGCAGATTTATAACTTTTTCTTTTGCAGGTTTTCTATGTGAGTCGTATGTTTTTTTTTGTTGTTGAAAATTTGTTACCTTCTCTTTTCACCATCATTTTGTTTATATATTTTTCCTTTTGCAGGTTCTCGATGGTCTTTTTTATGCTCATTTTAGAAGTTTTCTATGGAAATATGGACCAATGGTAAAATTTCTCTTCCATCTAATTTTTATGTTTATAATCTTAGCTTTTTTTTCTCTCTTTGTCATTTTTATTTATTTACAGGGATGATGGAGGAGACTTCAGCTGTGCATCATTTGTATATTTGGATGAGGAATGCTTGGATTAGGAGTACGTAGGTCTTGTTAGGAATTATGTTTGTTGTAGAATAAAGATTGGTTAACTATGTAATAACTATTGAATCTTCAAGTTTTATGAAAGAAAACTATTATATATTCATTAATAAAGCATTATGGTTGGTTTTCTAGTTAAAATCGTTGCATAGCATCATAGGAAATCAAAAAGAACTAAAATGTAGCAGTTTGGAAATTTATTAGACGACGGTTTTTATAATAAATCATGGTCTTTATAGATAATTAACGACGGTTTTTATAAAAAAAAGGGTCGTCTATTATAGGTAAAGATGATGATTTTTATAAAAAATGGTCGTTTATTATATGTAAAGATGACGGTTTTTTTTAAAAAGGGTCGTCTATTGTGAAGTAAATATGACCTTTTTTAAAAGGGTCGTCTATTGTATGTAAAGATGACGATTTTTATAAAAAATGGTTGTCTATTATATGAAAAGATGACAGTTTTTTTAAAAAAGGTCATCTATTATATGTAAAGATGACGGGTTTTTTTTTATAAAAGGGTCGTCTATTGTGAAGTAAAGATGACTTTTTTTAAAAAAGGGTCGTCTATTGTATGTAAAGATGACGATTTTTATAAAAAGGGTCGTCTATTATATGTAAAGATGACGGTTTGTTTAAAAAAGGGTCGTCTATTATATGTAAAGATGACGGTTTTTTTTTAAAAGGGTCGTCTATTGTGAAGTAAAGATGACCTTTTTTAAAAGGGTTGTCTATTGTATGAAAAGATTACGATTTTTATAAAAAATGGTCGTCTATTATATGTAAAGATGACGGTTTGTTTAAAAAAGGGTCGTCTATTATATGTAAAGATGACGGTTTTTTTTTTAAAAGGTCGTCTATTGTGAAGTAAAGATGACCTTTTTTTTTAAAAGGTCGTCTATTGTATGTAAAGATGACGGTTTTTATAAAACAACCGTCATCTTTATAACAATCCACGACGGTTTTCATAAAAAATCGTCATTTTTACATACAATACACGACAGTTTTATTAAAAATAGTCTTCTTTCCTCCTATAATTAACGATCTTTACCTCTAAACAACGACGATTTTCTTTAAAAACCGTCGTCATTAAAGATAAACAACGACGGTGAAAAGCCGTCGTAGTTTGACACCCAAATAAATGTCGGTCGATTTCACGACGGTTTGAAAACCTAATATACGACGGTGAATTCCCGTCGTTTTTTGCCTTTTTTGTAGTAGTGACTAATCAATTGAACAATCTAAACAAAACCCAAAAAGCAATTACATGTATAAATTTTTTCTCTCATTACTTGTGCTTGTGCTTGGCTTAGTAACTTAATACACGAACAATGGTGAATACAACCCAATTCGTTTCATCATTAGCTCATTCATCCCATTCAACAATACAAACAAAACCCACAAAGCAATTATACAAAGAAATTATTGTCTCTCTCAGTCTCGGTGCTTCTGCTTTCTTTAGTAAACAAGAACAAGGCAGACCCATTTCAGTTCATCACCAAATCATCCAATTTCACATCCCAAACAAACCCAAATTAAGAGCGATTATTTAGAAGCAAGATTAGTGGCAGACATGCCCATATATATCTCAGGCCATGTCACTCTCAAGCAAGATTAGTGAAAAATATTCATCTGATGGGCATCTTTTTAGTGTTTTTTGCCGTGATTTCTCACTGATTATTTTTGGGAAGCTCTCCAAGTTGAAATTTGTGACCCTTAATTTCATTAATTTACAAGGTTCTTTGCCCCCCATCTTTGATGAATTTCACAAACCTTGTAGAACTACACTTGGAATCCAATCCAACAACTTGGAAGGAGATATCTACATGCTTGATTTTTCCAGACTTAGTCAATAACTTTACTGGTACATTTCCCCACTCAGAGGGTTGAACATTATTTCTCTACCAAGAAACGTTATTATCGTAGTTGCCTTCTTGCGGGGCAAACAACTTTGAAAGAATGACTATCCTCCAATTTTGAATTTTCTTAGAAGAATCATCAACAAGAAAACAACTTTGAACATGAATAGGACTTCAATGTATAATGTTGAATCAGGCTTGACTGCCACTGTCACTCTCAGGCCACATCTATCTGGCAAGAAAAATAACACCATATATCTTCCAAATAACATGAATAATTATCATCATAATGAAAGAAAACACCAATGAGGGAAAGCACACGTCAAACGTGTGGAGATAAGACAAAGATGAGTTCTTAGAAGAATCATCAACAAGAAAAACAACTTTGAACTTGGACTTCGAGTGATTAACATGGAAGATGAGCTCGTATCATTTATCAGCTGCCTTAAAAATAAAAGGAAATAGTCAAAACATATTCCAGTTTGAATTCAACAAGGATTCTCTTTATCACATATTCACGGTCAAGTCCTCTCTTGGTGGCCCAAAGGTTTCAATATCGATAATTTGCATTCTGTGGTTGTTGTTTGCCGACTTCTCAATTTGCGGTGATGTTTGCATCCAAATCTGAAAACGCATTAACTACATCCGTGAGATTTTTTATTACTGTTAAAAAAAATCATGACACATCCTATACAGCTTATAACAACTCTGCAATAAACAAGTTGTAAGACATTTGCAATTTAACTCAACTATCATAAAGTAACGCAACCAGCATGGATACTGGCAAGGGAAATCAGATATTTCTTGTGCTTGAAAGCGAATGATATAAATTTCTTAATGTTCGGTATTGACCAAGTGGTGAGCGAAGATGGAGAAAATTGTTTAGGATTGGAATAGGTCAAATTTTCGGTCCCTTATAATATTGTTAAAAATACAATTCATGAAGCCAATAGAGTCTAGTCTAATGAAAAACGACCTTGATTTGTAAATCAGTGATCTTAATTTCAAACTCTCAGGTCACATTGACAGTATGTGCATGTGAGAAAACTCCCTCTCTCCAATAACGCTTGTATATATAAAACAAAAGAACAAAAAAGAAAAAGAAAGATACAATTCATGAAAATTTCAGCTCCCAATCCCTATAAAACAAAAGAAAGGAACCTAACACCATTCCCCAATGTCAAACTTGCTTTTCCCACTTTGTCTTTGCTTCCCTCAAGGCCTCAAATTAAGTAGGTCAAGTCCTCTCCTGGTGGCCCCCTATTAAGTGGTTGTTGTGGAAATATATATTCAATATTAATAATTTGAATATAGTGATGATTGCATCGTTTTCAAGCATCGTTGCTCTTATATATATATAAACCCTATACACCTAATTTGCACTGAGCAACGGCACATACACAAAGAAACATGCTAGGGCAAGCTTATAACCTAATGGCTCATGCCATCCTTCTCTTCCTCTTATTCTCTTACATTATATCTACACATATTCATGCCTGCAAACAAACTGAACGCAGCTCCCTCCTGTCCTTCGCCTCCACTTTATCTTCTTCTCCTTTAAATTGGACATCCATTGATTGTTGTCGTTGGAAGGGCATCACTTGTGATCAAGATGGTTGGGTCACCCGTTTGCTCTTGCCTTCCAAAGGGCTCAAAGGACGTATCTCTCCCTTTGCACTTGTAAATCTCACCCACTTGAACCTTTCCCACAATTCACTATATGGTTCACTTGAAACTCAGTTCTTCTTGTCTTTGAATCAACTTGAGATCCTAGATTTGAGCTATAACCGTTTTTCTGGAGAGTTACCACTTTCTCTACCATCCAGCAGTATCCAGACAGTTGATTTGTCCAGCAATCACTTCTTTGGTGCAATTCCATCTTCATTCTTCCAACAAGCAAGCAACTTGACTAGTTTCAATGTCAGCAACAATACTTTCACAGGGTATGTCCCATCCTCTATTTGTCTCAAACATTCTTCTCCCTTCCTTAGGCTATTGGATTTTTCTTCCAATCTATTCAGTGGCAACCTTGCTCTTGGGCTAGGGAAGTGTTCTGAATTGCAGGTTTTTCGTGCCGGTCACAATAACCTCTCAGGATTACTTCCAGAAGATATCTATAATGCTACTAAACTTGAAGAAATTGCATTGCCTTTCAATTCACTACATGGAGCCATTAGTGATAAAATTGTCAACCTCACCAACCTTGCCATCCTTGACCTCTCCTTTAATCATTTTGGGGGCGAGCTTCCTCTCAATTTGGGGAAGCTCTCCAAGTTGAAGTTTGTGACCTTTGATTTCAACAATTTAGAAGGTGCTTTGCCCCCATCTTTGATGAATTGCACAAACCTTGTAGAACTGCGTTTGGAAAACAACACCTTGGAAGGAGATATCTCCATGCTTGATTTCTCAAGACTTAGTCAACTTACTAAACTTGACCTAAGGGTCAATAACTTCACTGGTACAATTCCAGTAAGCCTTTACTCATGTAGGTCCTTAAAAGCCATTCGGTTGTCCAAAAATCATCTAGAGGGACAAATACAAGCTGAGATTCTTTCATTGAAATCCTTGTCCTTCCTCTCACTTGGTGGCAACCGATTCACCAACCTCACATGGGCAGTGAAGATATTGATGAGTTTTAAAAGTCTTCACACACTCATACTTGCTGGTTCCTATGAAGGTGAGGGAATGCCATCTGATGATGACATGGTTGATTTTGACGGATTCCAAAATCTTCGGCTTTTTAGTTTGGCTGGTTCTGACCTCCATGGTCAAATACCTTTATGGTTATCAAAGCTCAAGAATCTAGAGCTGTTGGAACTGGGTTTCAATCAAATCACAGGGCCAATTCCAAATTGGTTGGGGACTCTTCCTAGGCTGTTTTATATAAACTTGTCAAATAATCGAATTTCAGGTGAATTTCCAAAGACACTTTGTAGACTACCAAGGTTGCTTTATGGACATAATATAGCATCTCAAGCAGACCAATATGAATTTGAATTGCCTATCTACGGCCGCAGCAGCAGCATAATCGCAACTCAAAATTTTCCAACACATATATTGGATTTTTTTGCAGCAACGATAGTCTTATCTAACAATAACATTAGTGGTGATATACCTACTGAGATCGGCCAGTTACAACTTCTCCAAGAGTTGTATCTTGACTCCAACAACTTCTCCGGCATCATTCCAGACCAAATATCTAACCTGAAAAATTTGGAGGTTTTGAACCTCTCCATGAATCTCTTGTCTGGAATAATCCCATCATCATTGGCGAGCCTTAATTTCTTAAGAGAATTTAATACCTCGTACAATAATCTTGAAGGACCAATACCAATAGGCACCCAGCTCCAAAGCTTCAACGCTTCTGCCTTTGAGGGGAATCCAAAACTTTGTGGTGTCCCACTTCCAAATAAGTGCGAACCAAATAAGTGCATTGATACAGATAACAAGAACAACAAAGACGAGGGCAATGGGCATCATCAACTTCCATGGTTTTATATTTTTGTTGTGTTGGGGTTCATAGTAGGATTTTGGGGAGTCTGTGGTTCTTTAGTTATTAACAACACATGGAGATATGCGTATTTTCGATTCATAGACAATGTACAAGATTGGCTTTATGTGATGGTAACAGTGTGCATCAACACGACGAAAAGAAGGCTTAGAGGCTAGATATATATTATTAATATTGTACTTTTTATTTTGCATACTCAGTCCAAAGATATGAAAACTGATGTATATTCATGTAATACGGTTGTCAATTGTGAAGGATTGATGTCTCTGTCTATGTTTTGGATTGGAATTCCCTTACTGCTGTGCTTTGGCATGTGGGGCTCAAAGGTTGTGTTTGAATATTGAAGTCGCGATTTGTTTTCATGTCTTTTTAACTTGGTTCCTTGCTTGTTGATATTAAGGAGCGTATGGTGAGCGCCCTCATGCCTTGAATCATTTATCATCAAAATATTTGATATCCTAACTGATCATGCATTTCATACGCTGACAAAAATTTGTGGACTTTGTCTATAGACATAAGGAAGAAACACGTACATATGTAGGTGTGCGTTCAGGGCTTTTAAGCCAATTAAGACATTCAGAATTTCATTTTGGAGTGAAGGAGCTCATGCTAGGGACATATTTGTGTATGGGAGCATGAGTTATATCCCGCACAAAAATGATAAGAACTACTCTCTCACTTGTCTGTTAATATATTAGTATCTCTATGATAAACATGTGTTACCAATATGAAGTATCTGCAAAACTAATCACTTAGCTCAAAGGGAAGGGAAATCGCCCCAGTTGTGAATGATCGGATGAAGCAGCCATTGCATCACTAAAGATAAGAAAGAAAATTCAAGAGTTATTAATAGCCTTTCTGTCTTTGGCAATTTATGAAGAGGTTGTACTTGAGCCACATTGTTAAGTTAGCAAAATAGATGCATTTGAATTACTATAGGGGCATGTCAGTACCAAATCAAGTATCCGCTCTTTTTACTCCCATTTCATTGAAAAACAGGGCAAAGCCCGTCATGAAGCAGCCTATATGTTCAATTCTGGTGGTTTTTATCTCTCTCTCTCTCTCTCTCCATCAACCCCCTCCCCCTCCCAACCGTTTTCATCGATGGGTCCTCCCTCAATCAATTAAATAATCTAGACAAAACCCAAAAAGCAATTATATGTATCATTTTCTCTCTCAGTGCTTGTGCTTGTGCTTGGCTTAGTAATACGGGAATAATGGTGAATGCAACCCAATTCACTTCATCATTAGTTGATACCATTCAACAATACAAACAAAACCCACAAAGCAATTAGAACCAAGGTCTAAAATATCAAGGGTTTCAGAAATATCAGTGGTCTAAAAACACGGATATATCGATAGAAATATTGAGAAAATATCAATATCGGAAAAAATTGAATAAAAACCATGGAAATTATGAGAAAAACTTGGAAATTTTTATTGAAACTTTAGAGGATGTTTATTTAGTCAATTATCTACTATTTTATCACAAAAAATTGGAAGGAAATGCATTGAATGGTAGGTTTGCACTACTACATTTTAGTCTTTGCGCGACGAAAGGGTTTTCGTCGCGCAAAAACGATTTTAGTCGCACATCATTATGCGCGACAGAATCTTCGTCGCGCACAATCCGTCGCGCAAAGGTCGTGAAGAAAGGATTTGCGCGACGAACAAATGTCATTCGTCGCGCAGTTTGCGCTACGTATAACATCTTCGTTTCAAAAAACATTTCGGGACGACCTCATTGTCCGTCGCACAAATATTTGCGCGACGAAACAGAGGTCGTCGCAAAAAAAACTGCGCGACGGAATTGTCCGTCGCGCGAACTACATGAACCTTGCGCGACGACATCTTATTCGTCGCACATACACATCTTGCGCAACGAAATTACTCGTCGCGCTAGATTAAGATATATTTAAATGTTTTTGCGCGACGATTTACGTTTCGTCGCGCAAAAGCAATATATATTATTAAAAAAAATTTATTATTATTTGATTTTTAATTTTGTAAAAAAATAAATTTTGTTTTTTTTTAATTAAAATGAAATTACAATAAAAAAAATTAATCGTAAAGAAAACATCTATTATATAAAATAAAATAAATGTATACAAATTGTAAAAGTAATTATAAAAATAACAAACTAATCAAATAATGTTCCGAAATCTAATTGGTCATCTGCCACATGCGGCTCGGAGGTATGCGGCTCGGAGGTATGGGTGTCTGCAGGGGCCGTGGTGTGCTGGGGATGCTCGGGCTGGACGGGCTCGGAGGTCGACGCACCAAAATTCGGGATTGGAATCCCGGACCGCGCGAGCGACTGCAGAATCACCGACATCTGACCCTCAAGCTCGGCAACCCGCGATGTCAAAACAGTCACCTGACTGTTTGCCTGCGACGATGACCGCGGTCGAGGTTCCCTCTGTCGGGCATTCCCCATCCCCCTACAATACGTTCCCGGCCTCCTCCCGAGAGTCTGATCCAACGTCTGCGTCAAAATCTGAAATCCAGCATCATGCGGAGGATCCACAGACTCGATCGGAGTCTCGGGAGGAAGTTGGGAGGCGGACTCTTGAAGAACCAACTGGCTCCTCTCCACCATCGTCGTCTGTTTAACATTACATAAAATATAAATTCAAAAATGCATATAAATTGAAAGTGTAACATAAGAATTAAAAATACATAATACTTACATGAAGGGACTCGGCCAACTCATTCCCAGGTCGAACATAAACGTCACCAAAGACGTCGATCTTTGGGAATTTCGACCCCCCCTTAATTGAACAAGAGAAGAAAAATATTAGTATGAACAAAAGAAATTAATAATAATGACGTATTAAAAATTAAATATAAATTATATTATTCTTACCCGACGCCGTGCATCCATCCTATATGAGAAGGGCCTGGAGCCGGAATGGTGAAGAAGAGTCTTCTTCTTCCTATTGCCCTTATTCACTTGGGCTTTATTCTGTTATACAAAAAATAAAACGTAAGAATTGAACTATAAATAAATTAAATAATAATGAGATATAAAAAATAAAATAAACATTAAACAAATATTATTAAAAAAATACCACATAATCGGGCGCCTGAAAATGAGCGCAGAGCCACGCCCAACTATCCTCCCGCCCCTCAAGCTCCTTCGGGCAACCCTCCTGAAGAGCGACTTCCGGATCATCAAAGGCCTGGAAATGGTGGTGCAAGTCGCTCTTCCACTGCTTGTACCTCTCACCGAAGAGTCTGTTGACGTACGCCAAAGTCTCCTCGTTGAGGTCCTCTAAGTCGTAGTTCGTCTGCAATAAATTGATTACATACATTAAGTAATAGAAATATATAAAGTTTGAAAGAAAAATACCGACAACTGGCCGCGAACTTGCATCTTGATCTCGTCAGGTATGACCTTCCAAGACTTCCATTGCATCGGGCAATGGGTCCGAACGACGTGGCCAATGTCGTGGGCCAAGGAGCTATGCAAGTCCGCCGTCGGTGCAGCCCGATGGCGCTCGTCATATCCGATGCTGATACGACTGTTGGTCACCCGGGTGACCTTCGCCGTCTTCAGCTGCCGACACGGCCCTCGGGTGTTCCTCTTGGCTGCAAAGGGATAGGACAATATTGTTACATATACAATCAAATTGAACCATCAAATTCCCAATTAAAAAAATGTTAAACAAAAAATGAAAGGGGAAGGGTATTACCTGTAGGTGCCCCCGAGGCACCAGTACAGTCAGTGGATGTGGTGTCGGTGGTGGTAGCGGGCCGGTGTCGCCGCCTAGCGCTAAGAGGCTGCACCACCGAAGAAGATGATGATGCAGCCGCCTGGGATCCCCCAGGACCAGCTAGCACGTGGTCCTGCTCCATCAGTGCTGGAGCAGTGGCAGCTGATACCGGCTGAGCCGGGGGCTCCGAACTCGGTGTAGCCGTCACCGCCCTACGACGTCTAATCAAGTCTGACATCTGCACAATTTCATTAATCATAGTTTGACCTAGGGTTTGCGATTTCGGAGTATCCGGGACTCCGATCCACAATCCGTCGATTCCTAAACGATCCTATAAATACATGGTACCACATACGTGAGTTTCAGCTCGATCCAACAGTCCGAACATATCAAACCCTAAAATCGCACAATAGGTTCGAACCGTTCGAGACTCAAACGATAACCAAATTCCAATCCGAGCACACCTACGCGCTCGTGACAACGAAATGTTTGCACTGGGACAAAATGCCCTATGCCACAGTACCCCACGCGCCACCACACGCGCCGGCAGCGCGTGGGTGCCCTAAGAGATAACGATCCCCGGGAAATCCTACAAATTAAGGGGCAAGGTTCCTACCCTAGGTTTAAAACATCAATTGGAGCCACTTTTGTTCTCGGACCTACCCCGAAAAACGGACGGAAGTGGCCGGAATTTGAATTTCAAAACCGGCCGAAACCTAGGGTTTCAAATTGACTACCCTATGCACACAATCAATCAAATCCTACACAACCATCAGCTAGAGCATGAAAAATAGCCCAAAAAGCATACCTCAATTGCCGGATTTGGTGCCCGGAGGAGAGAGAACAACGGCGGCGGAGATTCGGGCTAAACCGAGCAATTCACGGCGGCAGGATGGACGGCCACGGCGGAGAAGCTCCTGGGTTCGACGGTGGCGGCGGCAGGGTCTGATTTGGGGCGGATTAGGGGCTGAGGTCACGGCGGAGAGATTTGGGAGGTTTTAGGGTTAGGTTTCAGAATTTGGGGAAGAAGGAGAAGATCGCGATTTTCAGAAAACTTATTCGACTTTGCGCGACGAACAAATATATCCGTCGCGCAAACTTCATTAAAATAACCTTTGCGCGATGAAAAAATAAACTTTTCGTCGCGCAATGTTATAAAAATTGAGCCTTTGCGCGACAAGAACAATGAATTTCGTCGCGCAAAGTTGTGAACAGATATACCTTGCGCGACGAAACAACTACTGTCGTCGCGCATACTTGTGCAGCCGCCCAAAATTTTGGGATTTGATTTTGCGCGGGAAAAATCAATGCAATGAGATTGCGCGACGAATTCCAATTTCGTCGCGCATGCTAGCTGTTCCAAAAAAATTTGCGCGACGACTACGCATGTGTTCGTCGCGCAAACTGGCTTTTGATAAAAAAATTTCACTAAGTGCTGGAGC